CCTGTGTAGCTAGGGTTACAGACAGGAGCCACCAGCACTTGGCTCAAAAGGTTCTTTTTAAATCTTCTCCTCACACACTTTGGCATTACTGCTGGCAAATTAGATTGGCAGATTTTAATCTTCGCTTCTCTTATTTCCCCTGATGCCAACAACTGGGCAAAGGTTTCCAAGTAGATTACAGTCGAAACTGATTGGTATTCCAGAATTCAGTTTGCCAACACCATAATCATGCAAAAAGAAAAGCATGCAAAACTGATAGGCCAAGGTCATTATGCTTTCTGGGGTGATTATCATAGTCACAAGAGGCCTTGATAACACTAAGTAATTAATCCTACAGCCATTTTCATTATCTTCATTTTCCTAGAGACTAAAGCTATAGAGAAGCACAAAACAAGGACATTTGCCCATTCAGAACATGGGTAAATCGCAATATGATTAATTCCCTGCTTTCTAGGTCCAGTCACTGGAGGGCTGTTTTAGGCACTAATGATATGGCAGTCATCAAGCCAGAATCTTTACTCTCATGAAGTCTAAACTAGACATCTGAAAAGACAAATAGAAAAAGCAACATTGGTTTGAGTGCGTGCGTGCATGCGTGCGTGCGTGTGTTCTACCACTTAAACCATAGATCCACTTGCAGCTTTTTCTTTTTTTTGGTAGTTAAGAGATGCCTCAGATAGCTTTGAACTGTGATCCTCACATTTCAGCCTCCTGAGTAGTTAGGATTACAGGTGTAAGCCACTGGTGCCCCCATACAACCTTATTTTTGAAAGAGTAAAATGTACTGGAACTTGCAACTGGGGAACTGAAATAAGCTAGAGAAAGATAAACATGCCCCAGTTGCAAGAAGTTGGGAAGAGAAGACAGTTTAGTGCTATACAGCCTTGCAACTCAAATGATACTCAGGAAATCTCAAAGTGTTGGTTTACCCAAAAAATGACTTGGAGTTCTGTTTCACATTTTCCAATTTCTACGAAACTATGATTATTTCCCAAGCCACATGTGTCACAGAATAAGCCTCCTAACCCAGTTAGGCCAGCCAGTTGCCCACAATTACCCTCGGCATCCTACCAAGGCCATATTCTGAGTCAGACAAGAAAGAGCTCCTTGACATGCCACAAAAAGTATATTGATGGTCTCATGGAACATACTCCCCCATAAGTGCACAAATACTACTGTGTGTGTGTGTGTGTGCATGTGCATTAGTGCAGGTGTGGGTAGAGATAGCTCTTCTCTGCTTGACAAGGCCCAAAACCAAGCAAGGGTTCAAAACCCATTTATGCATTATTCTCTCAAATGAACCTTACTTTCCATATAGCAAAAATGTATTTTTCCATCAGGTGAGAGAGAAGAAGCAAAATCCTCATAGGACACTACACAGGTAATACACTACACATACGCTAATCTCCACCTAAACAAAAGTCATCCAGCTACTACAGAGTACAAAACAGGTTATTCTGTTAGAAAATCTAAGAAACTGACTACTTTTCATGGGGGTCTTGGCAGAGATAAAGGGATGCTGCTCATGTTCTGCCTATTGATCCTAGCACACAGAGAGTTCACTTTGTGAAGCAGCAACAGCTGTATACTTACACACACCACCCTGCATATTCAGCTTTCATCAGATTTCTTTTAAATTTAGCTCCCTAACAGTCTGTAGTTTATTACTATCTTAGGTTCCTCTCTTCTTGAGACATTACTCCAAAACTACTCAGAGCTGCGATTTGTAAGTGCAACGTAAATAAAATCTGCAGGTCATGTGAGGTTTTCCTAACGTATCACTGATCAAGTACACCTCTGAACACATAATATATAAAGCCACTTTTAGATCACTTATTGAAAAAAAAACAATTATATGTACAGAAGTGCATTTTTAATCAAGCCTTCAGAATAACAGTACCTTTACAAAGGGATACAAGGAAAGAGAATTCATGGCCTCTTTTTGCAGTGGTGAGGGTTTTGCTACCCAGGAACTCTACTACCTCAGCCATGCCTTCAGCCTTTTTGCTTTAATTGTTTTTCAAATAGAGTCTTGCATATATGCACAGGCTAAGTTTTGTCACTATCCTCCTATTCAGATTTCTTACCTAGCTGGAATGACAGAGACAAGCTACTCTACCAAATGTTATATTGGATGAGGTCTAGGTTAGCCAAAAGCTTGCTGTTCCTAGTTTCTACCTGCCAAATAGCTAGGATTACAGATGTGAGCCACCAGGGCCAGTTAAGATTTTCTTAAACATTACACTTTCAAAACCCTCAAGAGTCATACATTTGACTATCACCCAAAATCGATGCTAGTTACATTTTTTACTATCACACTATCTTCCCTTGGTTATACTTGAATGTGAGTGACACTAAAGAGAAATCCGATAGAGCAAGAATATGGAGGCAAGTAAATCTCCAAAAAATTCAACTTAAGAATGTCCCCAGTGCACTTCTTCAAGACTGCTGGCTCACCTGTACTAATTTTTCTCCTCCCTCTGCCAAAACTCCTGAAGTAATTTCTATTAGCAAAAAGATGGGACCAAAGTCCATTCCAAAACCTGGAGCCTGACAGCTTCTTGGGTCTAGCTGAAAATTTATTCACCATAATAGATTTTATTTTGTGAATATTCCTTTGATAAAACAGATCATCTTAACACATCTTTTTTAATTTACATATTGAGAATCAGGAGTGTCTAATCAAATACTTAAGTAATTAAGACAGCTCACACTTCACCACTTACTTGAAGACTATTTAAAAAAAAAAAAACTTTTGGGCTGGGAAGGTGGCTCAGTGGTAGAGTGCTTGCCTTGCATGCATGAGGCCCTGGGCTCAATCCCTCAGCACCACATAAGCAGAAAAGGCTGGAAGTGGCGCTGTGGCTCAAATGGTAGAGCACTAGTCTTGAACTAAAGAGCTGAGGGACGGTGCCTAGGCCCAGAGTTCAGGCCCCAGGACTGACAAAAAAAATTTTTTAAAGACATAGATGGGTAGATGCTATCAATCACAAACAGCAATCTTCTTGCAGAGGTTTTATTTAGAGTACATTCTCAGTCACCATTCCCTCTCTTCTACTCTTGTCACTAAAGGCTATGCACTAAGAAAGAAAGGCATTTTGACATATGCCAACATACTGCAGGGTACATACATAGACAGCTTTCAACTTTATCCTGGCACACAACTGATAGGCATTCAGTAGAAATCATACTTCTTTAAATTTGGATCTTTCCCCAGACTGGTGAGAGGCAATATGCTCTACACTCTTACAAGGTTCCCAAGCAAGCAGCAAGCCACAGCTTCTAGTGAATCACAGAATCACAAGTCAATGACCAATCCTCAACAGCAAACCAGGTTGCTATTATATTTGTTAGTTTGAGTGTTTAAGTGTACTTTCAACTTACAGTATTTCCAACTTACAATGGGTTTGTGTGAGTCTTGGAACACCTGCACACATCTCTGGGCCTGGATCATAGAATGACTCCAAGCATGGGCTTTCATTGGGTAATATAGATGACTGCTGTATAACCATCATTTTCCTCCTCTCTAAAATAGGCATACCAGTTATCCCTACCTGACCTTGTGCCTATGGAAATCAGGTGAAATACCGCTCATAAAGCAATTAGCCTGACATTTTGTAAAATGCCAATCACTTGTAACTATGTTTACAGCAGCCATAATCAAAACTTTTCTCCTGAGAGATGATTTCATAGTAGCACTTGAAAAGAATGCAAAATTCACAGACACTAATACTCTGCCAAAACAAAAAGAAAAATTACCTTTTAAAAGTCATCATTCAACTAAACTGTATATTCAAAGACTTCCTTTGAGTACAGGCTGGCTTCTTGCCAGTCTATGCCTTTAGAACAACTATATTATCAATAGCTTCAAAAACAAAAACACAGAAACCAGGCCCAAAGAAACATAGGTCCCATGGTTTCCCTTTTTTGCAATATCTAGTATATGTCTGAGTCAAGCAGAAAAGGTCAGATAAGGTGATATTAGGGAAATGAACCCTAAGATCTGTATTCAAATGTTTTTATTCTTTCATGCGATTGTTTCTAACATATCTATGAGATTATTTCTTTGTTGCTTTGTATGTCCCTCCCCCACAGTATAACCCCTGCTTTTACTGTATTTGATGTTGGTATAATTTGTGGAGGGGAAGGGAAAAACAAATTGTTTAAATAGGGTTACGGGTTGACCCATTGCAACAATGAGATGTACAAATCGTTATGTCGAAAAACGAACTTTACAACTTTGGTGGGGGGAGGACGGGAAGGGATGGGAAGGGGAAACAAAGGAGGAGGCTACAATGCTTGATAAGAAATGTACTCATTATCTTGCCCATGCAATTGTAACCCCTCTGTACAGTACTTTCACAAAAAATAAAAAACAAAAACACAGACCCTGGACTTTGGAATAACCTGGTACAAACCACTTACCTTGGTCTGAACCTTAGTCTCCTCACCCCAAAAATGGGAAGAAGAATGCCCAAGCATCAGCTATTACTGATGTTTCAGATATTTTTTGTAAAATGCCCACCAGTAGCTTGAGCATTAAAAGTGAATTCGTTTCAAGCAAGTACGTCATCAAGGGTTTATCAAAAGCAGAAGAAAAAAAAAACTGTAAGAGAACATGTCCCCTCTTTCTATTTCATTCTTCCATTTCTGCAGCCTTCTTACAGCTTGCCTTGAGTTCTAAGCCAATGTGCTCCTCCCACAGCTACAGAAGTTGAGGGCCTGATTTTGTGAGCATCCATTATCTTCTGCTAACCTCCAAATACAGACCAGTAGCTTGCACAAAGACAGTAATAAATTGATGCAGAGAAGTCCAACTGCCAGGAGGATCTAACCTGAGACAAGCAGACCCACCAGAAAGAGAAGACTAGAAATGCTCCAGGCTACAACCTATTTTAACTACCAATTGGAGAATTTTTTTTCAGAACACTGTTTTGCTTCACTTATTTCATTGCCTGCTTTCAAGTCAGATAACATTGATATATGAGACGGAGGCTTACCTATCGGCAGGATTTCTTCAGAACCAGCCTAGAAAGCAAGGGGAAAGTAAGAAAAAGAAACAGTTACTGGGTTTCATCTTATCACCTTATGAGCTGTATTTCTACCATTAATGCTTTTGAGGACCTGGCTAATCAGGAGACCTAGAGACTGGGCTGCCTCAAGGTTACACCTTGGTTTTGAGAAGGTTCTGATGACAGAAGCATGAGCCAATTTCAATAACAATTTGAGGGAGAGGAAGGGAGAGATGTTAGCTAGCTTTCATTTTAATTTAACCCTAGGGATGCCTGAAACAAAATTCTTTTTAAAAAAATCAACAAAGGGATCTGGATTCAAAAGTCTCTCTGAATGCAACCAGGCAAACAGACGTCTGTCCTGATTCACGGGGAATCAAGTAGAGAGCCTCCCTACGTTTATCCCCTGGTCAAACTGGACAGCCCAGAGAAGCTACCAAAACTCACACCAAGTCGCTACTCAAAAAGTTCCACCGGGCCAGAGCCGTCGTGATTGACTACAAAGGGTTCTTGCCCAGCTGAACCTCCTGTAGGGGCTTGCAGAGAGCACCCCGGCTTCACCTGGAGTCTCCACGGGGTGGGGGGCAGGGCCGAACGAAACAGAGCTGCACTCAATTTAGCTTTTTTTTTTTGTAAGAGGAGGAGTTGTACGGAGGGGGAGGGGAGGGATGGGGCGGGGCGAAGGGCGCCTCCATCCTCAGCCCCGCACCACGCAGGGCAGGAAAGGTCCTCAGTCCCCCCCACCCCACCCCACTCCCCAACTGTCAAACTCCAGCCGGGCGGCGATCCTCCCGGGACACGTGTCTACGGGCCACGGGGTATCCCCACGAGTTCCTGAACCAGCCCCCCCAACCACACACACACAAAATCCCAGACAGCGGATGCTCGAGAGCGCCCAGAAGAAAAAAAAAAAAAAACCTCGACTCCGGCTGCAGCAGCCTGAGCACTTGGATCCGAGTCCACAACTTCATTCAACACCCCGGGGGCTAAGGGGGGTGGGGGTGGAGCCAGAAGGCCAGGCGAGGATGCGATCAGGCTACAGTCACTCGTGGGGGTGACGCGTGCCAAGGAGGGGGTGAAGCCCCAGGTGTGACCAAAAACCTCTCTGCCCACCACCCCCACCCCACCCACCCCCACCCCACCCCAAAAGGCCCCTCCAACACCGGTCCTGAACGCCAGAAAACCAGGAGGGGTGGGAGGAGCGGAGGGGAGGAGGAGAGGTAAGGAAGGAACTTTTCTTTTTTCGGGTTGGAGTTTATTATCATTGTCGTTACGGTTAGGATGAGCCACTTACTTGTCCATCCGCTGCAGTCCTAACCTCTACCAGAGCGGCTGCTAGCAACCAAAGTGACAGGAGAACCATCCCGAGTCGAGTTCACTTTTCAACTACTGGGCAAAGCAAATCCCCCCGAAGTTTCTTGTAGGAAAAAAAAGAAAATGGATAAAAAGAAAAAAAAAACACACAAAATCTTCAGTGCTTTGGTGCGGTGAGGAGCCCCGGGCCGCGGCCGGCGCCCCCCTCCCATCTCCCCGCCGTCCCGCCGCGAGTGTGCGCGCAGCGGGAAGGTGCCGGCGCCGGGCTCGGGCTGCGCCGGCAGACGCGGCTCGGACGCGGGGTGCTCCCAACTACCTCTGCCCGAAGCGGCTTCGGCGAGGCTTTCCTGGCACCATAGGCTCCCTAAGGTGCGCGCGGAGAAGGCTCGGGGGTTCCCCCACCCGATCGCGGCGGCGGCGGGGAGGAAGAGCGGAGCCGGAGAGCAGAGCCGGGAGCCGGAGCGCCCCCGCCGCGCACGCCGAGAGGGGCGGGAGCAGCCGGGGAGGCCGAGGAGGAGGAGGAGGGAAAGGAAGGAGGAGGAGGGAGGAGAACGAGCGGGCCGCTGGATCGCCGGCTCCCGAGGCTCGCGCTGCGGCCGTCTGCGAGCTGCAGGCGACCCGCGCGGGGCGCTAATAAGGCGGCCCGAGCTCCTCCACCTTCCCCCCCCCT